TGTGAAAGTTAGTGATCTACTAAAAGCTGGCAAGTGCGTTTCAGCAAAAGGATGGGTGAGTCTGGGAGGAGGTCAGACAGTGGCAGACAAGCAGGATAGAGGTAATAGAAGAGGATGCAGGTTCATGTCTGGGGCAGGAAGCAGACTTGAGAGTTGGAAGGGGCCTTGAGAAACCACAGCAGGGCCCACACGGTCAGGGTCATTTCATACAGATGAATGTCTAACCTCTTCTTAAAGATCTCCAGCAGCAGATGCTCCGGACCTCCCATGTCAGTGGTTCACTCTCCTCTTCATTAATATGTTTTTCTTAGAGCTGATGTTGAACCTCCCTGTTACCACTTATTCTTTCCCAAACTGGAGGAAGAGAACACATTGATCAGGTCTTCTTTTTAGCAATCTTTTAAGTGTTTAAAAACATAATGTCCTCTGGATCTTCTCCAGGAGTTCTTAAAATATAATGCCCAAGTATTCCGCCTGGTGCCATACCAATGAGCTGAGCAGAAAGCTATTTCGTGTATCTTGCAAGCTATACTCCTCCCGGGCTATCACAGTATGATGCCAGCCTTTTTTTGCGACAACATAACATTCTTGACTCCTGGTCAGTTTGTGATCCACCACTGCCTTTAGGTCTTCCTCTCCAGAACTGCTCTCCAACCAGTTTTCCCCTACCATATATTCATGCAGTTGATTATTCTAGCCTGAATATAGGACCTTTTGCACCTGCTAAATACTGGCTTTTTCAGACCATTTCCCCAATTTGTTATGGTAATTTTGAATTCTATTCATTTCCTTCAAAATATTTGTCATCACTCTAGTTTCCGGATTTAATATGTGTCCTTTCTATTCCATCATCTATTTTGTTAGTGAACATCTATTTTGTTAATGAAAGTACTCAATAGAAGTGATCCAGCGGAGACTCTTGCAGGACCCATTCGATTCATTCATTTTAACAGGGATAGAGGGATAACTTCTCCTTGGGAAAAGGCAGAAAAAATAAGAGAATAAAGAAGAAAGTGGGAGTAGGACAGTTAGGGTGAAAAATCTGTTGGAGGGGTAAAATAGTTGTTTGGAGTTAAAGAGGTAGGAAAATGGACTGTAGTGGGATATTACTGGATATTAAGCCATAAGGCAAGAGACAGAAGTGAGTGAAGGACTGAAAGAAGCAGGCTGAAAATCAAGGGAGCCATAAGTGAGTGGGTGGGTTCCCAAGGCATTTGATAAAATCCCTTAATCAATTCAACTAAAAAAAATCAATATGACTGTCAACTAAACAGAGAAAAACAAATGTATAAAACACTCACATATGGTGACTATTAAATCAATCAAAAGGAAAGCAATGTTTAAGAATAGGCAGACAGGCAGTGATGGACCAGTCAGCAAAGCCATAACCAAATCGGAGAGGTCTGATAAGGATGGTAATGCCGGAGAAGTGGCTCATTTAAGTCTGGGTTCTGCTGTTCCCCAGTGCCTCCATCTGCAACCTGCTCCAGTTACGTCCATGGGACAAGCACAGGGAGTAGACAACATGTTGTAAGGAAGTATCCAGCCGAGCAGAAAGCAGGAGAGGGAAGGACTGAGTCATCTGATATTAGCTGTCAGCAGGAAGGGCTGGAGGGCTGCTATTCCCCTTGCTGCTGCATCTCTGCAACCTGCCATGTACAAAAATAGGACTTTTAAAAATGGGATCAGTGTGCATAGCCTTGTGGAAGGCAGCTGATGTGGAAAGAGGGAGTTGCATCCTACATGCCACCCTCCCCTGCTGCTCCTTTCCCCAGTTGATGCTGCCAGGTCCTGGGTCTGGCTTGGGCTGGGACCTCTGGCCTAAGCTAAGCCTGGATGTCCTGCCTTTCGCAGTGTGAGCTTTCCACCTTCAGCCTCTTTTTTGAAGCATCAGCCCTGTCTGATGACTTCTGATGAAGTTCATCTTGCTCACTGCTCACAGGGGTCTGTTGCAACACATTATACCCAAAATAGAAAGCCTTTTCTAACAACACGATTGTCCCTGGAGTCATATTTG